AAGAGCAGTGGAGGCTGACCCCCTTCCGCTGGCGCACAGGCCATGTCCTCGTGCTCTGGAGCCGGGCTCACCTGCAGATAGCGCAGCACCTTCCCCACCACAGCCTCATCCACAAAGCACTCGGCCCACAAGGGCACCAGGTTGGAGGGGTAGAAGGCTGGGTTCAGTTGCTTTGTCAGGAGGTTGAAGTCCAGCCACATTCCAGCCGCCTCATCCCACAGGACAGCTTGCAGAGCCTGAAGCCGGTGCTCCAGTGCAGCCTGGAACTGAGCAGTCTTGGAGCTGTTGCCTTGGGGGGCGAGAGCAAGCGCAGCTATTTGTGGAGCCCTAGCAGCCTGTGGCAGGACCCACCCCAGCCGCTGCTTTGCAATGGGCTGGCAGGACATCCTCAGAGAGAAGGCCCAGAACAGCGGGGCACAGATCTGAGCGCAGGGCAAACTTGTAGCCCAGGACTACCCTCTCCCAGCACATTTGGGCTGTAGGCATAAAGCTTCGAGCTGGGACACAGGAGAGGCAGTAGGGATGTGCCCGAGTTCATACCCTGTCTGCTGCAGCCCCTTATCCAGGAAGAGTCAGGGCCTGGAGCAGGTCACATCCCAACAACACTTGTTTCCCCTTCAGCTCAACAGAGCAGCAAAGGGACCACACCTGGGCTTTACCCAGGGCAGAGTGCAGCTGGATGCCTTCTGCTAGTGCAGAGAGATGCCAATATGCTGCACTGCCATGGGCACCAACTGCAAGGGCAGGAGTTATGGTGCAGGAGACAAGTTCACTGCTCCAAGAGCGGGGGGGTCCCTGCTGCAGAGGGGTAGCCCTGCTCCCAGAGCAGTGCCTTACCCAGCCGCCTGTGGAAGTCTGCCAGCAGGCGCTCTGTCTTGCACAGCACAGCGTTCAGGTCCACCGGCACCACAGTGCTGGCTTTCGTGTCCCTCAGTGTCGCAGTGTGCGTGGGGGGTTGGAACCAGCGTGAAGAGAAGTCCCAGCCTGATTCTGCTGCAGACTTCAGCTCTGCCCAGAGCTCCTGCCTGGCAGCTGCAAGCACCAAATAATCACTTTAGGACCCCTCTGGCAGCAGGGCTGGTGCCTAGCCAGGGCATGCCCTGTGACGGTGAACACAGGTGCCAAGGCATGTGCATCAGATGGGTATGAAGGACAGCAGCGAGCTGGAGGCAGGGTCCCCCACCCAAGCAACCCTCTGGAGTGCAGGTGGAAGAAGGGCCTGGGGAATCACACTGAACCCAGCAAAGCAGCACCCAAGTGGCAGTGATGGCCATGATCTCGCCCAGCCGAGCCCAGGGCTGTTGATGGCCAGAACATTCAGGGCCAGCAGCACATCCTATTATGCAGAAAAAGCGATTCCTTCACAGAGGCCATTCCCGGTGCCCAGCCCCAGCCAGTGGCTCTGCTTCCTTGCACATGGGGTGCAGCCGGCAAGGAGCAGGGCAGGTTGCTGATGCTGGGGACAATGGTGTGATGCAGAGACCTCACCGTCACTCAAGCCAGCTGCCAGCTCCCAGTCTTGACTGTAGGACTCTGGTCTGCAAGGAAAGGAGGGGGAGGGGGGGGAACACACCAGGTCCATCAAGGTGTTTGCCGTTCCTTTGCTCAAAGCAGCAGCAGCCTTGGCCACCACCAGACATGGTGTGCCAGCAAGCACCAGGCCTCTCCACACTCCGCAAGGGAGCCGGGACCTGAGGAAGCAGGGCAAATTCTGCCAGCATCACTACCACTGAGGGAGCCACAGGGTCCAGTTGCCAGCACTGCAGGGCAGCAACCAGGCCAGATGCCAACAGCAACACAAGTCCGGGGACGCTGTACCCCTCCACATCTTCTCCAGGTCAACATCTTGCCAAGCAACCATGCTGCTGGGCTGGGCTGGAGGGACTTCCTGGAGCACCTGATCAGTAACCCTCAGAATCTCAAGCACGACTCACTGCGTAACAAGTGACCACAAGGCCTTTGCTGCAGCCACTGCATTCTGCTGCAGTGGCTCATGTTGCCCGGTGCTGGGGAAGAGTACCCAGCCAGACACTGCCTTTTGAGGAGCAAAGCAGAGCTGAACCCCAGCGCCAACATTCAGGAGGCAGGGAACGGGCCCTAGAACAGACTTGGTGTCTGCCAAGCCCAGTGCTGGCAGCAGCCCCTGCAACAAGGGGAGAGGATGGGGCCCTGGGGTACAAGGCCACAGCCAAGTCATGGCAGAGCTGATCTAGAACCCAGGAGTCTCGCTTCTTTGCCCATCACTTGCTCGGGCAGTGCCTCTAGGCTGTTACCTGGGCTCCCCAACCTGGACATTGTAGCGGTTAAGAGTGTGATTTGTGCCCCCCACGGTGATGGTCACACTGCGATTGCGCTGCCAGAACTCGTATTCCACTTCTAGCAGGTGGATGTTCTCCCTGGGGGCCAGAGGAGGCCTGTCAGCATCCCCCCAGTGCCAACCAAGCCGACTAACCAGGCTGGGCTCCAGCAGCACAGCCACCCTGCCCCCACCATCTGTGCACTGGTCACAGCCCCACACTCCCTTTTACAGCAGAGCTCCCCAGGCCCCCAGCCGTGGAGGCTGCATTGCCTCAGGCTACCAGGGAACAGACCCGTGTCTTCTGCAGCCCCTGGGACCCACTTGTGCTGCAAGGCAGAGAAGCACACTCAAGGACTTGGCACACAAAAGAGGCCAGGAGGCAGGTGCCAGGCATGTGTGGAGGGTCCCCAGCCTGCCCTGCCGCCAGGGACACCAGGACCAGTGTGCCCAGCAGGACCTCATGCCCACCTGAGAAAGGCCGTGTCATTGGTGCGAGCAAGGTAGGCGTCCATCATCAGTGTGAGGAAGGGGGGCTGGCTCCGGCGCAGGTAATAGACCCGCCCTCCGTTGGGGATGTGCCCGTACCTGCCCATTGGGACAACCCATGTCACAGCTCCACAGCAGGGCAGGCTTGCAGCAAACCACCCTGCCCACCACGCACTGGGGCAGCTTCATCCCAGCCCCAGTGCTGGCACAGGGCCAAAGCCAGCAGACTGGAGAGATCCCTCCCTTGTCCTCCACCCCCTCAGAGCTCATGCCCAAAGGGGCGGGACACAGCTGGAGCAGGGGCTGACTCCCTCACGTCTCTTAGATGGGAAGCTGTGGCCCCCACAGACATGATGGCCTAAGGCAGCCAGGCACTTGGTGTCCCCACTCTGCAAGCTCTCACCGGTCCACCAGGTAGAGGAAGTTCTGAATCATCCCTTTGGCCGTGGCAGGCATGTCACATAGCAGCAGCCCCTCGATGACCCAGTAAGAATCCCTGCAGCACAAGGGGAGTGAGCCTCCACAGGTGATCTGGGCTTGGAAACAAAGCTCAGCCTTGCATACAGCAGCCCCAGCCCCAAGAGGGAGGCCTCGAATAGCCCCTGCAGTGCAGGGGGAATTGGCGGGGTTGGGGACGACACACACAACATATTCACCAGCTCGACCTGATTAGGGCGAGACCAGAGGGCTGGCAGTGATGCAACTGAGAACAGCGTGAGACGCAGTCCCTGCCCAGCTGGGACTCACCAGTAGTAATACTCTATGAACCGGCCGCCGGGCACCATCAGGGGCTTTGGCACATAGATCAGGGAGTAAAGCTCTGGCTGGGCTTCTACAGCAACCTTGATCTGAGAAAGAGACAAGCCAGGCTGGTTCCCAGGCCCCATGACCACTCCTTGCACCCTACAGCTGGCCTGCGGCATGTGCGCCCAGTGGGAGTGGGCTTTCCACCCCAACTACCTTTCTCCCCAGGGATTTCCACTTGGTGTTCAGCTCCGACGCCCATGCCCGGAGCTTCTGGTCAGAAATCTTGTTTAGTATCTGGGGCCTGGAAGGCAAAGAGAATTTGGCAGGAAAGAACTCCCCAGGACTCCTCCTGCCAGGCTCACACTAAGAGGGATCTGGCTGGGTTCACTGCACACCTGCTTTTCCAGTCTTGAGGCTCCCATTGCTCAAATTCCTTCCCTGGATCATCAAAGGACAAAGTCACAAACTGCTGCAGCTCCGTCCTGGACACAATGCCCTTCTGCGCTTTGGCCATCAGCTGCTGAAATTCTGCCAGCACCACATCTGAGAAGAGAGAAGAGGCTGCAGCAACCCCTGCCAGGACCAAGGTATTGTGGCAATTCTCCCAGTGCGGTACATACCACTGCACTGCACAGCACAGTGCCCAGACTCCCACTCGTGGCCCACGACTACTGTGGGACAGGCACAGATCCGGCTGGCAGTGACTGCAGCCCAGGACTGGAACGATTAGACTGCAGGTGTGTGTCTGGGAGCAAAGGAAGCAGCGCAGCTCTGCAGCCTGAGCCATGCCGCTTGTGCTGACCTGCTGGCTTCCGCAGGGGCATGTCAACAAAGTGCTTTGCATCAGGGAAGAGCCTGGCCAGCTGAACCTGCTTCAGGAGGTCTCCAGTGCAGTAAATCTTGCTGCAAAAAGAGAAAAACAGGCTAAGTGAGATTCAGACCTTCCTGGTCGCATTCTGTACACAGCCTGCTATATGCACTGCAACAGACAGTTCATCAGCATGGACAGTGACCTGCAGACCTTAAGCATGGTCTGGGTCAGGGCCCAGGCATGCTGCAGGGGGAACAGATGGGCTGCACTGTCAGTGCATGCGTGCACTGGGGTGTAAGTGCACTGATACAAGAAAGCGCAACCTGCCTGGGCATCAACGCAGATCCAGAACCCACTGATTTTTCCATGGCAGGACTTTAAATAGTCCCTCAACTGCTGCGTTCAGACTGTCCTCGAGGGTCCATGTGCACACCAGAATGTATCGAGACCGTCTCCTGTGCACATGAGACCATGGCATGTTACAGCCACGTCACACAACTGCGTAGCACATCTGAGAGCACCTGCTGAGCATCAGCTCTGACAGGAAAGACCCACACAGCCCAGCCCTGCTACACTATCGGACACCATCCCGGCCCTGCAACAAAAACAACAGCGCCAGCCTGAAGCCCAGTCAATGTCAGTAAAGAAGGTCAAGGTCCACCAGGGTGGCACCCTGCCAATGCCTGCATCTGCTGTGAAGTTACCATTCGTTTCACCAAAACAAACAGCAGAGGAAGCTGCCAGTCTGCCAGGAGCACAGACCTGGTGGAGCAGAGCAAAGACAGGGTGAGAACAGATGGTAGCTCTTGGAGACAAGCTGCCATAGACTCTGTGAAGCCAAGTACTCTCTCTTCAAGGGATCACCAATAGGACTCCACTTAATTGCTGGCAAGCAGTTCCCATGAGAGTCAATGACTAACCACAGCACAGCTCTGCTGAAGCTCCTATCCATCCTGCAAGTCTACGCCAGAGCCATGCAATGCAAACATACCCTCTGAATTCCAAGCGGCACCTCAGTTCCTCTCAAACTCAGAAGAAATCTCATGATTCCCAGGCGAACATGCAGCTACCACTTGGTAGCAAGTCATGATGAAACCCCCGTCACCCATATGAATAAGCTCGGGGTGGTGATCCTTGTCCTCCAACTATGCCTGCAGAGATTTCTGCCCAAATACAAGGGAAAGGCTCTCACCACATCCAGCTCCGACAGTTGCACGTCCTCCGAGCCAGGGTAGGCCCTTGGGGAGGATGGCTGAGGGGTATTAGGCATAGCTCTAGAGACTGTAGCAGCTGAGAGTGGGCTCAGAGAGAAGAAAAACTTCTGGACTACACACAGGCTTCACTGGCTGCTCCCCTCACGCTCCATAGAGTCATAGATTGCAAGGCTGGAAGGGACCTCAGAAGATCATCAGGTCCAGCCCCTTGCACCAGGCAGTGATGTGCCCCCAACAGCTGCAACTTGTACAGGAGATGCTAGGATATGTTACAGACAAAAAGCAACCGACAGCCCTGGGCCCCGCGATCTGTCACCGGAAGACCCACCCGTGCCCATGGAGTAGCTTGCTTGCACAGCAGTTACCTGTCACAGGGAGGTGGGAGGCCACAGCCCAGCCTCTGCCATCCTAGTACAGAAATGGAGATGCCCACAAGGAAGCGCCAGACTGTCCCCAGCATCCTGGCAGCACCAGCTACACTGCTCAGGAGGAGTGCTAGATGGTGACTGGCTCCTGAGGTATGGAGTTCACAGGGAAATGCTTTAACAATCTAGCAGAACAAAGTCCAGGAAGCAAAGTCTGAGATAAATCATGTGTGCTGTAAAAGTGCTTTGCTGCCTTCACGGGGTGTGGCAGTTTCAACGGGTCCTAGCAAAGGAAGCTGGCAGTGGCTTTAATCCTCACAGACAGCCCAATCATAGTCCTCATTAGCAGTTCCAGCCATAGGTGTATGCACAGCACCTCTTCTCGAGACGAGAGATCTCAGCCAGGACAGCGGCATCCACAGACATCAGGGACTATAGAATCAGGACAGCTTGAGGGAGAGGCTTCAGCCCGCGTGTGGCACCTTACCAATGCTGCGCCTTGCCCCAGGAGAAGAGCAGGGAGGAAATGGGAGGGGAAGCCTGGTGGACTCTAGGTACCCCCACGGAGATCAGCCACAGACCTTAGGAGCCGCACAATAAACTCCGGACAATCTGCCTGGGCAGCCTGCGAGTTCCACGCAGCGCGGGGCAGCAGGAAGCGCTCATTCCCCCGGTCTCCTGCACTTCCCCACAGTCTCTGCGGACAAGCTGCAGCCACCTGGTGCAAGAGCTCGTCCCACAGGCAGCTTTATTTAGAGCATGCTGCCTTTAGGAAGGGGGAAGCAGCCACCTCACCAACCCAGACCAACTTTCTCCTTCACCTGAGCCCAGGGTCTGCAGACAGGTTTCCCCACCAAAGCCTGGCCTGGAGGTACACCAGGAATCCTATGAAAATCTTCATCAGCCCTGCCAAGTCCCATTACAGGGCAGTTTGTGTTCCCCAGCCACCCACCCTAGGCTTTAATTCTGCCAATACAGACTCCACTGCTGAAGCTTCCCACCCCCTGAACCCATCCTTTTAAAATGCCCTCCGTATTGATTATTTCCCAGCAATGCCTCTCCATTCCCCTAACTCCCTTCATTTATAATCGGATTTTAAGCTCATTGCGGCACTAGTGTATTTCAATGACAGAACAGACCTTATATAATTAATGCTACTTCCCTAAACACAGACACTGCTTCTCTTCTGTTATTGCCACAGAAGTCTGGGGCTGGGTAACTGCATTTCAATAGCAGCAGATGTTTCTTTAGATCCGCTGCACTGATTTTTACTATTTTTTTTAACTCGGGGAGTTATTTTACATGACCCAATGCAACCTATAGTTTCATAGTTTCTAGGGTCAGAAGGGACCTGCGCAGATCAGCAAGTCCGACCCCCTGCCACGGCAGGAAAAAGTACTGGGGTCAAATGACCCCAGCAAGGTCTTCATCCAGCCTCCTTTTGAAGCCCCCCAGAGTAGGAGCCAGCACCACTTCCCTTGCAAGTTGGTTCCAGGTCCTAGCCGCCCTGACTGTGAAGTAGCACCTCCTGATGTCTAGTCTGAATCTACCCTCTGCCAGCTCGTGACCGTTATTTCTAGTCATTCCTGGTAGTGCTCGGGGGAACAGGGACTCCCCCAATGCCTGCTGGTCCCCTCTGACTAGTTTGTAAATGGCCACTAGATCCCCCTCAGCCTTCTCTTGCGGAGGCTGAACAGGGTCAAGTCCCATAACCTCTCCTCGTAGGGCCTGCCCTGCTGACCCCTGACCATGTGAATGGCCCTCCTCTGGACCCTCTCCAGGTTGGCCACATCCCTCCTGAAGTGTGGCCCCCAGAACTGGACACAGTACTCCACCTGCGGCCTGACCAGTGTCACATAGATGGGGAGGATCACCTCCTTGGACCTGCTTGAGATGCATCAGTGGATGCACAACATACAACCTAAGCTGCTACAAGAGTCCCACACTTGGCGTAGCATGCATATCAACAGTGGGGAATAAAACACAATGTCTTATAGATGTTTTGTAGCAGTCAGGGAAAGCTCTTGAATGCAAAGATCACCCTCCCCTCCTCCCCCCCTATACCAGAATAGGTTTAGGACCTCACATGGTCAATTGTACTAGAGATTTCATCTTTGCCCTGTCCTGCCATCAAAGCTAAATCAGCTGATAAAAACTCAAGAATTGACTCTCCATAGGTGCCAGGCTCTACTCACCACTCTGCTACTGGCCTGCTGGGTGATATTGGACAAGCACTTGGTCTTGTACATCGTTTAGCCCAGGGGTAGGCAACCCCTGGCACAGGTGCCAGCGTGTGGCATGCCAAAAAATGTTGCTTGGCGCACAGGCCTCATGGCAGACAGCAGGAAAGGAGCTAAGGATCAGGCCCCTCATGGCTCCCCTACCTTCTGCCCCAGCACACCAACATCTTACAAGTCAAGGTTGTGTTTTTGACACTCTGCCCAAAAGCATTGCCAGCCCCCAATTTATCATCTTTGTGAAATGCATAAATCTCCCCAACTAAAATCCCTCTAAGAGCAAGTTTATTAATATAGTCCACCAACTAGCTAGTAAAGTTACAGGACTCAACCCCCCTTCTCTGTTGATAGAGTGGTCACTGTGGTAAACACAGCACACAGGGCTGAAAGGAGGTGCGAAGTTCGCTAGTTTGTTATCGAGTTACAGGTTGAAATCCATCTGATATCCGCAAGCGTGATAATCAATTCGTTAGGGCAGTATATGCAGGCACTGTGCAAAGATCATGCTTGTCCTCCAGTTGAGAAAAGGTGTTGCAGGCAGTGATCTGTAATTTTTTCCCCTCAAGCAGCAGTTAACGTACTTAAATTTTGATGTACTATAACAGCCTAAGCAATCTCAGGCCTTATTGGTCAGAGCAATCCTGCTAAGAGCAAAACTCCATACAAACTACACAGAACACATCTTTTCCTTTTGACTTCAGATGACCAGAAACCCAGATCTTCATAGGGCAGTGTTTCTCCACCATGGCACTCTAGGGTGCCTTGAGACCCTTTCAAGGGTGCCACATTGTCAGGACTGCTGGGTGTGCAAACATGATTCACAAGATAAACCTAGAGATTTCAAAGAGAAATCCACAGCATTAAAAGCATTCTATCTGCTGTGACCTTTCAGAGTTCTTTATAACAGACAAAGATTGCTCTACTGTCTTTCTGTAGTAAGTTAATGTGTCACTGTTTAATTTTTTTTTCCAGAGGATAACTGAAAAGTTTGTATAATGCAAGGCATTGTTAACTTCCGGGCCAAAGGAAATCTGAAATGAAGGAACACTAATATAACTCATGCAAGATGGACTGCATGGACCATCTAGCAGCTTCAGCTCAAGTTAGCACAAACACTGGGAAGCCCTCCCAACAAGACAAAAATCTCTCTTCCAGAGGGTGTTTGCTGTTGTTTGCTGCAGCTGCAATGTTACTATTGTGCTCGTAATGACCTTTTGACATGTGTTTAAAATTACTGCTTCTTTCTTAGGCCACTTTGAAGCACTGACATGCTCAGGGTTGCAGCAAATGCACAAGTCTTGAATAGGAGGAGGAAAGAACCAACCTTTTACTCAGTACCACAAAAAGCCTGTTAGAAGACGGACATCAACACCGTTCTGGTGTTCCAGTGAGCTTTATTAACAAAATCAGGATTTTACCATTCATCTTTCTTATACTCTTATGAACTCAGTGAAAACTCTCACATAGTCACAGCCTTCCATCACATATAAGTACATACAGAGATAAACTTTCTCAACAAAAACTGAGCTGCACTGGACAGTTTGCCAATTGCCAATTAAACAGAAAGCCAATTTTTCCCCCTCCCTCCCCTGAATGTTTCCAAATTCTAGTCCTTGTTCACTTGTTATCAGTGGAATATAGCCCCTTTAACTAGGGACTAATGCTTTATAAAGCCTCATTTGAATTACAAAACAAAAAATGTGTTTTGTTTTGTTTTTGCTTGAAAAAGTTCCAGTTTCTTTCAATAAAGGGAATATTGTCTATATTTCTCCAAACACCCTTTCCCAACAATTATTGGTTAAAATACAGGAAGCCTGTATCTTAATAAACCTATCCCTCCCCACCACCCCACAACCCAGCCCTCCCCTCAGTTTTGTCTACCCTAGAATTTAACAATGCTTCCAGTAGGAGAATACACCAGGCTAAAAACAAAAGAAAGAAGTGGAGGGAGCAAAGCTCAGAGCAAACTCCTGCCACCTCTCCTTCCTCAGCTGTCTGACACGCACTCTTCACTCCAGAGACCACATGTTAATTGGACAGAGAAATTTTGGTTTACAATTGGACTGAAAGGGTCATGGCAGTACAAACAATTTGGTTACATTGGTCCAAACCAAGAGTGTTAGTGGCAGCACCACTATTCAAGGACACAGCTCACTCTGTTCCCATGAATCAATAAGCTCCTTGGCACCAGCAGTATTAGCAAGTCCATGGCCAACAAAAGATCATTCCAATGGAACTGGACTCCTGGCAAAAAAAGTCTGTGTACTTTAAAAATACAGGCAAATTGATGGTCTCTTCATCCCTGCACTGTGTCAATCACTGATGGAATATAAGCAACGGAAGCATTTCTAAATCCTTGGTGCAGACACCCTCCCCCCTCCCCACACTAAAACAAAGAACAAAGTTAAACAGAATGAGATGGTTCAATACAAACATGTTTGCAATTTCTGTGTCAAGCTTTCAAGTTCTTACCCACATAGACACAAAGCAAAAGGTGAAGGAAAGATGCTCCCATCTCATTCTGAAAATTAAAATATTTGAGACCAACCCACCCCACTCCCCTTGGGGAAAACCCTCCAGCTACCGCTGTGCATCTGGACAATGTATGTTGAAAAACCCATCTAGATATTTTAGTCATATTTCAAAAGGCTTAAGAATTGCATGTCTCCATGTCTACTGGAAGATAAATGTATCAGTTTTGCAAGGTGACATTAACCTTTTAGGCTCCTAGAAGGAATTTTTTTTAATAAAAAGGTATGCAAAATGCTCAACAGCCCATTAAGAGCATCACCACGGCCAGAGCAAATGTTATGATGTTGGGCTTATTACCAAAAGCAGAGACTTGTTCCAATTCAATGGATAAACATGAAGTCTGTCATGTAATCTGTAAGAGTAAGCCAGAAGAAATCCAAGGAAGTCTAATTTTATATATTACTTAAGGGGGGAGGGAAAAAAAAAAGGACTAGGATTAACCTAGTCAGTTGGAGCATCTTTCCTTTTGCAAGATCGTATACATCTAGAGATAGCCTACTGGCACCAGAATCAGACCGCTTCTTTTCTTGAGAAGAAGCCACTTTAGAACGGTGCCCCCAACAGTCTAGCTAAGTGCCAATCCTCAATCAGAGGCCACGTTTAAAGTAATACTTTTCATTTTTAAAATTTCTGTGCTTCAAGAGGGACCAAAGCATGGCACCAGGCTGATCTGCCACAAACCCAAGCAGAGCACACACTTGACTCAGCATGGCTATCCTTTTCTTGTTATATGTGCATGCCCTGTCACAGGATACAAAACTTATTTACACATTTTCATCTTTGTTGCACTAAAATGATCCCTCTTTGTCTCATTGGAAAAAAAACAAAAAAAACCAAACAAACTGGCTGCAGTACAAGAGCAAGATTTTACTTTTGGTCAACATTACCACCCACAAATTCCCTCCCCCCACCCCCAAAAAGCACCCCAAAATTACTTGTTTACATTTAGTACCTGCCAGTTGGATGCAGTTATGTGGATCACAGAGTGCCTGTGACCAAGCTCTTGAGTTTGTACTTTAGTGCAGCTTTTGCTACTATTATGGAGTCACTGTAGACAAAAAAATTAACAAAACAAAACAAAAAAACAAACAAAAACAAAAAGTCTTTCCACCTTGAGAAAGCTGTTGCCAGGAGGCACCTGGGCCTATTTCTGATACTCAAGAATTTGCTATATTTTTCCAAACAATTTCACTTTTTATAAAAAGTCAAACTGGGGAGAAATTAAGTTGATTAATTATCCAGGTAAGCAAGCATGGTGCAAGTGCAGCATTTGTATACACAATGTGTGACTGAGCAAAAAGGGACCACCGTCTTCCAGGTGCCTCCTAGCAAAACTGTTGTTGAACAAGATAAAAGGGAATTAAAAAAAAAGTTTACTGGTTTTGATTTGTCTCACTCCTTTTGCCTGTAGATCAGGCCAAACATCAAGCATGTTGGGAGGGGCACAATTTAAAGCAACACTACTTAACCATAAAGCATTTTCCAGCAATATACAATGCAAAATGACAGACAGCAATTCGTGCCAAAACATAGAAAGTGTCAAGCAGCTTTCTGCAGCTTCGACGTTCACAAGTTAGAAGGGGTTTGCCCTTACCTGCTCGAGAGTCTATGTAAGGTTGTTTTGGGCAGAGT